GCTACAGTTCAAAAGCAGAAACCCTGCAGAGAGCGCAGGGGCAGCTGGGGAGTCCCCCGCTGGTCCCATGGTCCCTGTGGGGCTTCCTTCTGAAATGTACAAAAGTCCCACCAGGGCTCTTGTACATTTCAAAGGTTGAGGTGCCGCAGGGAGCGCAGGGCCAGTGGGGACTCACCCATTGGCCCATCGCTCCCTGTGGCGCCTCAGGCTTTGAAATGTACAAGAGCTCCATTTCATAAGGAAGCCCCGCAGAGAGGATGGGACCAGCAGGGGACTCCCCTGCTGGCCTCGCACTCCCTGCAGGGTTTCCATTTTTGAACTGTAGCAAGAGACCAGTGGGGTTCTTCTACATTTCAAAAGCAGAATCACAGCAGAGGTGGCACAAGTGAAGACTGCTTCAATCCCCCCTTGTGCCGTTTCCCAGGGTATGTCTACACTACAAAGTTAGTTCGAACTAACGGACGTTAGTTCGAACTAACTTTAATAGGTGCTACACTAGCGCTCCGCTAGTTCGAATTTGAATCGAACTAGCAGAGCGCTTAGTTCGAACTAGGTAAACCTCATTTTACGAGGACTAACGCCTAGTTCGAACTAGCTAGTTCTAACTAAGGGCTGTGTAGCCCTTTAGTTCGAACTAGTGGGAGGCTAGCCCTCCCCAGGTTTCCCTGGTGGCCACTCTGGCCAACACCAGGGAAACTCTATGCCCCCCTCCCGGCCCCGGACCCCTTAAAGGGGGACAGGCTGGCTACGGTGCCCGTGCCAGGTGCAAGCCTGCCAGCACCCAGCTGGCAGACCCTGCACCTGGCATGGCACAGAGCCACCCACCCGATGCCCCCCAGCCCACCCCCTCTTGCCGGGACCAGGCTGGCGGCTCCCGGGAGCTTGCCCTGGACCGCAAGAGTTGGGCACCTTCCTGGGCTAGTGCGGACATCGTGGACCTCGTCCACGATCTCCGCACTAGGCACAGGAAAGTGGCCGTCTAGGGCAGGAGAGCTGCCAGCCTGGCCACCCAGGAGCAGGTGTGCATGAAAATCAAGGTGGTCCACTGAGACCCCCGACCCTGAGCCCTGAGCTTACAATGGCCGTCCTGGGTCAGACCAAAGGTCCATCTAGCCCAGTAGCCTGTCTGCCGACAGCGGCCAACCCTAGGGACCCTGGAGGGGATGGACCGAAGACAGTGACCAAGCCATTTGTCTCGTGCCATCCCTCTCCAGCCTTCCACAAACTTTGGGCAGGGACACCACTCCTACCCCCTGGCTAATAGCACTCCATGGACCCAACCTCCATGACTTGATCTCACTTCCCTTTAAACTCTGTTCTAGTTGTAGCCTTCACAGCCTCCTGCAGCAAGGAGTTCCGCAGGTTAACTATTTGCTTTGTCAAGAACAACAACTTTCTCTTACTAGTTTCAAGCCTGCTACCCATTCCTTTCCTTTGGTGTCCTCTAGTCCTTCTTTATGGGAACTCAGGAAGAACTTTTCTGAATGCACCTTCTCCACCCAACCCCTGCTTTTAGAGACCTCTATCCTGTCCCCCCTCCGTCTCCTCTTTTCTAAGCTGGACAGTCCCAGTCTCTGTAACCTCTCTTCATCTGGGACCTGTTCCCAACCCCTGATCATGTTAGTTGCCCTCCCCTCTCCCAGCCTTTCTCTTCCCCTCTCCCACCTCCTTTTCCCAGTCTCCCCCAGTTTTGTTCAATAAAGACAGAGTCAATGTTGGAAGAAACTTTATCTTTATTTTGTACATCAATAAGAAGGGGGGCTAGGGAAGGGTAAGTGGAAGGAGGTGAGGGAGAAATGGGGTACGAGCCCCTGATGGGGAGGACTGGGCTGTCTCTGCGGGCTTCTGGGGGGGGAAGCTCTCCTGCAGCCCTCCGATTGCCCCCTCTCCCCAGATGGCAGCCTGCGGCAAGTGCAGCCGGGCTGATGGCCGAGTGCTGTGATGTGCTGAGTGTGGGCACTCTGGGCAATCCAAGCCAGAACTTCTTTGCAAGCGGGGCACCCCTTAGAACTGTGTGTCCGGGGTGGGGGTCGGGACCCTTTAAGCGCAGCCCTCGGCTAGCCTGAGACAGCATCTCCATGCTCTAAGTCCTCCTTTTATGCCCTGCCGGCACTGCTTCCAGCCATCCTTAAGCCCTGTTCAGAGTCCACTCAATGTGGACTTGCTAGTTCGAACTAGCAAAACGCTAGTTCGAACTAGTTTTTAGTTCTAGATGCGTTAGTTCGAACTAGCTTAGTTCGAATTAACTAATTCGAACTAAGTTAGTTCGAACTAGCGCTGTAGTGTAGACGTACCCCCACTGTCTCTCTACCTACCCTGCCCCCCAGGGAGACAGTGCTGGGGAGAACCAGCTTTTAAACTGGCTCCCCCCAGCACCGGCTCCTGCTCCTTCTCCCTCTCCCCCGCTGCCTCTCTTTGATGGAGGCAGCATGGGACAGCATCACTAGTCGACTGTCTGATTAACTTCTGCATATTGGATAGTCGATTAGTTGCTTACATCTCTATTCAATACTGTACGGGGTTGAAACTTTCCCATCTTTCTTAAATTAGCTCAGTTGAAATAATGGGAGTATAAGAATAGACTAGCCACAGGAGTTGCAATGGTGGGAAATCTTATAACAAACAAAAGCCTACAATAAGTACACAAAGGCTACTTCTCTTAATAAAAGAAATTTTTAAATCCCAGGGCATAATGGTAGGAAGACACAGTAACATTGAAGTAACAGAAAATTGTGTTTTCCAGAAGATTCACAGTAGGGCCGCAAAAACTTTCTAAACTTCGTTGTATATGTATTGTTCTTAAAAATTGTTTTGGGGTCCTGGAACTGTATCAACAACCAATAATCATAATGACCATGGAATCATGGAGTACACAAGATCCTGGCACACACAAATTTTAGTGTTTTGAGAAGTTCACTTGAATGCACATCAGTATTCATTGCTCTCCTCTTTGGAACTGAGGAAAAAATAATTTTGGTTTCTTTTATGGCTGGCACTTGCCCAATCTATCCATTTCTAGAAAGAAGTCATTCAGAATGAAACTGGAATTTTCCTTTGAGGTTCTTGTGGTGTTGGGAGTAGCACAAAACGGTGAATGTTGAGTCTGTTATTTTTTTGGGTGGGGGTGGAAGTTTCTTAGCTGTATTTAAGACAAGATGCTTTCATCTGTGGGTGATGGGCTAGATTAGAAAACTTGAAGTCAAAGATATTAAACAAAAAATGGAATCTTAAATGAAATTGAGGAGATACTGGAAAATGTGGAACAGTAGCATGGTGTGATTAAAAATCAAAACCAAATTAGGAAACCCTTTGTATGTTTTAAAAAAAAAGTGTGACTAGTAGCTGGTACAGAAATTGAGGGCTGGTCAGGATTCCTGTATTGAGTGTTGGTTCTTATACTGTTTTTGTGTCCTAGAGAAAATAATTTAGACCCCAGTTCAGCAAAGAACTTAAGTACAGTCTTAACTTTAAGTGTACACATAAGTACTATTGAAGATAAGTATGTGCTTAACTCTGTTGCTGAATAAGGATTTATTTTTTCTATGTCTCAGCTTACCTAATTATAAATTAGTTTAATAATACTAAGACAACTCACAGGGGAGTTGTGGGGCTTAAGTGTTTAGGAACCACTGAGATTCTTCAATAAAGTGGCTTTCCTGAAAGCAATGCCCCAAATTTTATAACACAGCCTATTTTATACTATTTTCAAAGTATGAAGAGAGCTTTTCTCCCCTATTTCATGTTTCCTGGGACTTTCACTTGATGTCATCACAAATATATCATTTCATCATCATCATTGTGGCATACAGCATTCTATATGGCCTTTTAAATTACTCTGTTATCAATTTGCTCAAGAAAGTATAATCCTGGAAGGAATCTTATTGTGTCTACTTAATCAAATGAACTGCAACCTTGTAGAGTGCCTATCTAATAAAATGTTCTGTGTCCACCATGGTCTTAAATGGCTTATTCTATGCCATGCTAATCATATCTGTTAGCAGATCATTGGGCCATGCACTAATGGTTCGATGATCCTTATTAATTGAGTGGAAAGCTTTTAAACATTTTGGACAAGGAATATAACGCATGGAACGTTTCTATTAAGCTTGCAGCTCCAACTTTCCAGTTGGTTTCATTAGTAGGTGGACAAGCATAGAATTCATTTAAGAGTCAGACATTTAAAAGCAAATCAAAAGTACCCTTTTTTACAGTGTAATACGTCTCTCCTGAGCTATTGTTTGTTGGGGGAGGGGTTGCCTTTTTTTGTTCTTTCTATTATGGACATTTTCCAATGAAAGTTGTCTGAAAGTTGTTGGTTTTTTTAACTTCTATGCAATGTCTAGCTGGCACAGTAGGACCCTAAGGTTTAGTTATCTTTGTTTTTGGTAAGAAACTAAATTAAGGTGCCAGTCCTGTAAAGGGATCCATGTGAGGGGACTTCTGACATTTGTGTGTAGTCCCTTTGATTTCACACACTTTTACCTTTTGCAGAATTGGAGTCTCCATCTGTAAAGCAAGATTGCGTCTACTGAAAGAAAATACAGAATTCAAGAGAGTGCCATTTTTATTCACTTAGATCCTAAAGTTTGATCTGTGTGCTATTTGGTTTACAAACAATGATCTCAGTTTGGTTAACTTCATATCTTGGAGCAGCCTGTAAATTTGTCCCTTTCTAATACTGTGATCTTATCAAGGTTGCACTGTTCTCCTTTTCTATTTCTTTCTCTTTTTAAATTTTTTTTTTAAGTGCAGCCCTCTGATCAGTGTGCACTTTTTTTTCCATTTCCCTAAATACATCATGAAAAAGGATGAGGTTTCCGCCTTAATTGCTTGTGCCTTTTATTCACATTCCTCTCTCAGCCAGAATTGTGAAGAGAGTGTTAGTAAAAGGCTTCACAATAGAGCTTTTCATTAGGCCTCTGCAAGGCACAGAAAGGAGTTTCATTTGCAGGTGGAGAGTAGATAAAAGGTGCTGACGCCTCTATTATTCTCTTACTTAGGTGACCCTTACCCTGTTCAGCTGATCCCAACTACCATGGCAGCTGCTGCCGCAGCAACACCAGGCTTAGGCCCACTCCAACTGCAGGTAAGTCTGGAAACAATGCAAAAGAGGCAAAGGTTAAGTAATTATGGAAAACTGTTTTCTTTTTCATTAGAGCACAACAAAACAATGTTTTCGGCACACCCTTTTCTTTTAGGTTGAAGCTTAGATCTGAATCATCTTGAGGTTTTTGTTTTGTTTTTCCCTCTGGGGAAGATTAGTTTTACACAAATATTAATTTTTATTTTTAGATTTGAACATTCACTCTTCACAGTCTAAACCAAGTTGTTTTCCTTTTTGGGTTACAACTTTCTGAGACAAGTCATAAAGATTGGTTACATGTAAACCAGCAAAGGGAAACACACTGTTAGATGAGTCTAGGGTTGCCAGGTGTCCGGTTTTGAACCGGACAGTCCATTTTTTGAGCTTTCTGTTCAGGAAACAAACTGAGAAAATAGAAATGAGAAAACAGAAATGTCCGGTATTTTCTAAATAAGATATAATGTAGATTGTGATGTAATGTCAAGTGTGTCCAGTATTTTTGTTGAAATCATCTGGCAACCCTAGATGAGCCTTCTCCTGACAAGCACTTTCAAACTGCTTAAAATTCACTGAATGTGATTGTGTCTTTTAGACTATAAGCTCTTTAGCATGGTTACTATGTCCTCCTACATAGTATTAAGGAACCCAGCATATTTTAGGTGCTACAATAATGTAGATAATTAGTAATTATACCAATTTAACACACTATACAATTATAACATTATGTTACCAAACTGCTACAGAATCTTGTTTGAGCCATGTTAAGAGTTATTCTGGGACCCAGATCTGTTTAGAGATGTGCCTGATTCAAAACACTGGATACAAATCTTAAATTTGAGGGTATTTGAAATCTGATCATAGATCAGAATCAAAGTTTTCTAGAAAGTCTCATCTTTTTATGTCATTTGTATGTTAATTTTATGTTATATTTATGGTTTGCTGCTAGAAATGGGCCAAAATTAGAATTCACAAATGGGATCCAAATCCAAAATAACTTTTTGCAAAAACGTGTCTGATTTTGTATGTGTGTGTGTGGATGTGCATGTGTGTAAGACCAATTCACCACTGCAGGTTTATTCCTCCATTTACTATCTATGGCACCAAACCATGTGGGATGTATTTTATATCTGCTTGGAAATGTTCAACCATTTTAAACTATAGGTGTGAAACCACAGTCTTGATCTAGGTTCGATTATTAGAACAAGGACAAACTGGACTTCATGCAGTCAGTTTGGACAGCACAAGAGAGGATGAGCGACAATTCTGATTGACACACTACATGTACCACCATGCAGCTTTGCTTGAAAAAACATATGTATTAGTTTCTGATTCTGTGAGCTACAAATACCAAGGGCAATTTAGAAGTCCTGGAGACTATAAAAATAATGCAAGCATTTCATTCTCCTGAAATGACTTCTGGGAAATTTTAGCTGTGATCAAGTTCTTGTAATAGTCACATCTCTCTCTCTCTCTTTCTCTCTCTCTCAATCTTACTCACGCGCACACACATACACACACACACACACACACACAAGGGAAGGAGGGAAAAAAAGAAAAGCAAAATGGAGGTAGGTAAGAATGAGAACATAAATGGATGTAAATGGCGAAACTAAATCAGATTAGTGGTTCATCTAGCCCAGTATTCTATCTTCTAATAGTGCGCAGTGCGTGATGTTTCAGAGTGAACAGAAACCATTCTGTTTCAGCTTTTAGAATTCAGAGTTTTAGGGACATCCAAAATAACAAGTTGTCCCCCTTACCATTTGGCTAATAACGATTGATGGTTCTGTCCTCCATGTAGTTATCTAATTCTTTTTTTAACACAGTTCAAAAGCATTCCCTTGCAAAAGTTTCATGGGATTACTGTGAAATGTGTGAAAAAGTCCTTCCTTATTTATGTTTGTTTTAAATCTGCCTATTAATTTCATTGGGTGACCTCTGGTTCTTGTATTATGTGAAGGATCAATAACACTTCTTTATTCCCTATCTCCAGACTAGTCATGATTTAATGAACCTCTGTCATATCCCCCCCTTAGTCATCTCTTTTCTAAGTTGTCTTTTTAATCGCTCCTCATAGAGAAGCTGTTCCATGCCTTTAATCATTTTTGTTGCCCATCTCTGTACTTTTTTCCAATTTAAATATATCTTTTTAGAGAGGGGATGACCAGAACTGCGCACACTATTCAAGGTGTGAGTTACCATAGAATTATATAGTGGCATCACTGATATCTGTGATATCAATCCCCTTACCTTATGGTTCCTAGCAATCTGTTTGCTTTTTTGACTGCTGCTGCTCATTGAGCAGATGTATTCAGAGAACTCTCCATGATGACTCCAAGATCTTTTTCTTGAATGGTAATTTTTACTGCATTATATGTACAGTTGGGGTTACGTTTCCCAGCGTGCACTCATGTGCATTTGAGGAAGCAGAAGTTTGTATGCCTACAGCTCCTTAGTCAGCAGATCTTCAGATTTGATCTATAATTTAAAAAAAAAAATACAGTGCTAAAGGGGATATGGGAGTCTGATTAGTTCATTTCAGGCCCAGGCTTGGACAGTAACTCAGTAAGAACTGAGTTAAAGTATGCTAATTAATGAATGGAGATTGCCTATCTCCTAGAACTGGAAGAGACTGTGGGTCATCAAGTCCAGTCCCCTGCCTTCACAGCAGGACCAATTACTATCCCTGATGAATTTTTGCCCCAAATCCCTAAATGGCCTCCACAAGGATTGAACTCTCAACCCTGGGTTTAGCAGGCCAATGCTCAAACCACTGAGCTATCCCTCCCCATGCTGGTTAACAATGTCCATTCCATCTTGGAAAAATGTGACTTTGGGTGGATACTATTGGTTTAATTTAAACTTTCTGATAATTTTAGGGGAATAAAGGATTGTAAAGCACCCAAAGCATCTTGTCCCTATGCTAAGGAGCATGAAAGAAAGGGAAAGCACTGAGCAGGCTCCTGGTTCACTTGTTCACTTGTGATTTGAGCTAGGGATAGAGCAGAGTTTGGGAACCCATCAGTGGCAGGAAAATGGATGTCTAATTCTCTTAGCCATAGAGCTCAAGACTGGGCTTTTCAGAGAAGCCTCTGAGTGTACTAGGAAACCTTTTTGAGCAATATCCCCCCCGGACTGGGACAACATTTCCCGCAGCTTCCATTGGCTGGGAATGGCGATCCATGGCCAACAGGAGCTGCGATCGCCTGTAATAGCAGAGACGCAGGTAAATATAATGACATTGGCCCGCCAGGAGCTAGCCCTGGGGAACCAGATCCAGCCTTATGGGCCAGTATTTACCCACCCCTGGCATAGATAATGGAATTAAAAAGCATTTTGGCCTTCAGGAAATGCTTCAAATCCCATTTTAATTCATGGCATCTCCTCAGTGGCCCATGTACAATGAATTGCTGGTCTCAGAACAGTTTCAAATGGCATCCATGAGTTTGCAATGGGTATAGTCTGGGGGACCACTGGGCGGAGCGGATCATCTCACTTCAGAAATTCATCTACATAATATGTAATCATGATATCTCAGGGAAAACACCCTGGTTTTAAACCCTTATCTGCTAGCCCCAAAGGTAAGGATTTTAAGAGATGGGTGATTCACTAATTGTGTAGTCGATACATTTTTTATTGACTACATGATTAGTCAAGAAAGGAAAGCTTGCTCAGTCCCGGATCATTCCAGGTCCAGGAGTTATGCCTGCTGGGACTCTGCAGTTTAAATGTAGTAGGAGCTGGGTGAACAGGGAGCAGGCAGCCTGGGTCTTGCTACATTTGAAATGTAGAGCCAGAGCAGGGGTAGGTCCCAGACCTGGCGCAAGCTGGGACTGAGCCAGGCTTGCTCAGTCCCGCCAGGTCCAGCAGCCCCTGTCCACAGAGGGGTCCCAGGAGCATCTTCTGTCCTTGCTAGCAGCGCATGGGGAGAGGGGATGGCAGGCAGCACCGTGGAGACAGTGCTGGAGGGAATCAGCTTTTAAGCCAGCTCCCAATTCCCACCCCCTTTGCTGCCTCTGTATCAGAGGCAGCAAAGGTGGGGGAAGTGAGTAGTCAACTCAACTATTTGCTTACATCTCTACCCAAGAGATGTATTCTCTCCCCTTTTCTTCTTATGCTGCTTTTTCAGGCTTTATGTGCTAAGACTAGTTAAGTGGTGCTCTGGGGAGATCGAAGAAATAGATGCAATCTCAAGGCAAGGAACAGGAAGAGATTTTTTCACAATCAGGTGCCTTCTGCCTTTTCCTTCACCAGTGCAAAGGAGTTTTGGTTTTTAAGATCAGGATAACAAACGTGTGGTTGTTAGCTCACTGCAAAACCCAAAGTGAAGACAAAGTATTTGCAGTCTTTCCCTCATGGGAGCTAGGTGAATTCAGCACTCTGCCTCTCACATCTGGTTCCCCTGGACTTGTTTACCACTGCAAAATTAAAGAGCCTTATCTCCACTATGTTCTTTCAGTGGGATAGTTAGTGTATGTATTATCCCCCCGCCCAAGAAAAGCACATCTTTTTGATCAATGACGGAGTAGCCTTTGTTTTGAAAGCCCCCTGATAATTTCAGGTTGGGAGTAATTTGAATCCCTCCCTTCTTGTCTTCTCCCCAAGTTCTCCATGTGGGACCCAGATCCAATGTCAGGCACAGTTAAGACTAATTGGTTGCCCTTAATGACAGTTTCAGCAAGGAGACTGTACTACCCTCGCATTCAGAGATGGTTCTCTAGGTCAGGTTTGAAATAGATGCTAGGTCCATGTTGGAGAAGTTGGAATTAACCTAATCTGTGCTCAAACCTGGATTTGAGAGCATCTCAGTTCCCAAGGATTTATCCACTACTTCAGATGGGCTTTGAAGAACAATGTGCTCTTTTATGGACATTTCAACAGGGGAAGTGAAAGATGACGGATTGAAGTCTCTATTGTTCAGATCCCCAGAGTGCCTACTCCCATTAGGAGATGTGGCCCAAATGCTTTGAAATTAATTGGTGTCAGGTTCCTAAATAACGTAG